AAACGTAAACGACAAAAAGCTGTCAATTTTCAAGTATTGGTTTTTAGTGATTTTGTTTGATTGGTTGGAGGATTTCACCATGAGCTGACATCAGTTAGACAACCATTGGAAAACCTGCAGGGAGTACTGGACAGCCAACTGTTTCGTCCTAGTTTCGGACTGTCCATCAGTATGCACCCACCGCCAGGGTTAGAACCCAGGACTATCTGGTTACAAGGCGAGCTCGTAGAACATTAAGCCACTGAGACCCGACCCAATAACCAGCCCATGTATTCCAACTCCTGCCAATTCATGACATAGCGCGACCAATTCGCAATGTCTTTTTCGATGAGTTACTGCCTTACCTACAACTTGCTGTGCCTTATTGGTCACGACTTCCCACTGAAACCCCAGGTAACTGCCTGAATAGGGCTGTAAAACAAATTGATGAACAATACAAACAGTAATAAGATGTTGCATTTTCTTCTCTGAAGTTGAACATATTGACACCAACGGTTTCGTAGTAGATGAATAATTTACTAATCGAGTGGAATCCAAATGGAAAGTGACGAGTAAGTCGTCCTAAGGTGACATGGAGGAGATCGTTTAGGGAGATCACGGGCAATCGTGGACCCAGCTGAAGAGAACAGCAGAAAATAGAACGAAGTGGAGATGTGTTGTTGAAGCCCCATGCTCCACAGGGAATAATACTAACAATAAAGCTCACTGTTAATGTCAACTGTTTCCAACAATCTAGCATCAAGTTAATTAGTACTAATAATCACTTTCCGAGCATTTTACCGATTCATTTTTGATTAAGAGTAAAGGTAATACTAACTACTATTTAGTAATATAATGACATAGTAATTATTTTAAGTATAACTTACAACCCAGTGGAATTGCAGGAAATGTGAAGTACAATAACTATGAATATTCCCCGGCCCTAAATACTTAATATTTTTTCATTATAACAAATTTCATTCACTTGAAAGGAAAATCTCCACGTATTCCAGTTGCTCTGGCAAATATTCAATAACAAAAAAAGAGATAGAGTTGCTTCTCTTTTCTTTTTATTAGCTCTGAAATTCATTCTCACCACTTGTCTATTTTGATAACAGGAAATGAAATATTTCAATAGGTAGCTAACTTGTGGCGTGAAAAATCTCAGTGCGTATTTTATTTTATCAGTAAGCAAAAGCTATTCGATAGACGGGTTTATATATTTACTTATGATAGCATTAAAAAATTCGCTTGATTTTAAATTATCCTAAATTTCTTCATCTTTCATCACTGATAAACCCCAATTGAAGCATAAATAAAATCAACGTGTACAGAATGGCTATCTATCCCTTGCTTGTTAAAAACTTGAAGGAAGTTTGCCTGTGTCGTCAATGAAGCGAGATTAGAGTGAAGACCGTTAGACCTCTTTCACAAATACATCAGTAATAAATCTTCGAATCAGAATGCTCGGAAGAAAAATGCATTAGCCACTTGGTGTTTATTTTCAGTGGTTTAATAAAAGTTGACATCACTTCGCAACAGAAACTATCTTAAGAGAATTATTATTATTATTGTATCCTTTAATTCCTAGAGGAACATAGGGCTTCAGCCGTGCGTCTCCATTGCGTTCGGTTCTCTGCTAGAGTCTTCACCTGGCTCCATGTCTGCCCACACGTTTTCATCTCCTCTTCACATGACCTCCTCCAAGTCACCCTTGCACTGACGACCAACTCGCCGCTTCCCTTTCGGGTTCCACTCGAGCAATGGCTTGTCTAGTGATGTCACTTGATGGTTTCCTCAGAGTATGGCCAATCCATCTCCATTTCTTCCTGCATATTTGTTTCACAATCGGTTCCTGCTTGTTGGTTCGCTCCCAGAGATCCCTGTTGCTGATCTTTTCTGGCCGGTCATCTGATCTTGAGTATTGAGCGAAGACAACTGTTAATGAAGGTCTGTAGTTTGTTTGAGATGCTTTTTATGACGCGCCAAGTCTCTGATCCGTATAGTAGCACTGACTTCACATTGGAGTTGAAAATCCGGATCTTATTTTTGATGCTGAGTGTTGTTGACCTCCACACAGACTTGAGAGTAGTGAAAGCTTGTCTTGCTTTTCCGATTCTTGCTTTGATATCCTCGTCAGTTCCGCCTGTAGTTGAAATGATGCTTCCCAGGTAGGTAAAAGAGGTTGTTTCTTTCAGGTTCCTCCCATTTATGCTGATTGTTGTCTGTTGTTGTTGCTGTTGGTGGTGTTGCCCAGGAATCTTCATCACCTCTGTTTTCTCTATGTTCACCTGAAGTCCTATCTTTGATGCTTCTTCTGCCAACTTGTTGCTTTTCGCTTGCATATCTTCCAGTTTGTGGGAAATCAGACATATATCATCGGCGAAGTCCAGATCCTCCAAGATTTTTGTGTGTCCATTTTATGTCTGTTTCCTCATTGCCCGCTGTCTGTTTGTCGCATTATCCAGTCTACTGCAATCAGGAAAATCATTAGCGATAGTAGGCAGCCAGCTTGTCTCACTCCTGTCCTCACTTCGAAGGATTCCGTAAGTTTCCCGTTGTGGATTACTTGGCATGCAGCATTGTCGTACAGCTGTTGGATGAGAGAAGAATTAATTCCCTACAAAATTTTATTAACTAAAAATATTGTGAATTCTACTCAGTCAGTAAGAATTTTCCACTTCCTATATATATAATGAAGAAACCAACCCACTAATTATCAAGGTCTTCCGACAAATATCATAAATCCATTCATAGAGTTAGTACCTGATATCTTGTAAGTTAAATGTGGACTAAGTATTCCGTTTTTCGATATTTTAATTTTTAAGCTAGGAAAAAAGATTTAAACCGAATAAGCCTACAATGTTTTGGAAGTAAAATCAATCACCTTATCCAAATATTTCCCAAGAAGTTCAATATATGTATATCAATAAACTAATAACTCACGACTAGACAGACTTTTAACGATAAGTAGAAGCATTTTTAACTGATCGTCTTAAACTCCTAATTTCATTGTTAACATTCACATTTTGATAATTTAAAATGTCGTGCATTACATGATTATATTGCCTAGAAATCGTTTTCACATGACCTATATATGTAATTTAATTCCTGTAGAAACCTTTGAGGTCAGTCATATCATCTACTTTATGGGAATACATTTGTTAGTAATTTTTATCAAAATGAAAAACTCAAATTTTCATTGGACAGAAAACGTGCTCATATTATTATTATTATTATTATTATTATTATTAGTGGAGTACATCCGTGAATTTTTCTAATTATCCACAAAGTAAATAATAGTTCCTTCGTGTTTATAAAAGCTTGTATAAAAGTAAAATTGTATGTCATGCGTTAATCATCTGCAAATATTCATTTTTTTCCCGCTCACTTGACATCTATTGTAAAAAAATATCAACAATATTTTGTACTGTTACCAGGTTTTTTATATTAGGCTGGCTGTTTTATGAGCTATTATTTCTTTCCACAAGACGTTAAAGTTGTATACTTTCACCAAAACCCAGTGAATACAAAGCAAATTTATCGTAATGTATATTTTGTAAGATACAATTACAAAATTCAATTCATTCCATTTTCGCCCATAATCTTTCATCTCCTTCTCACACGATCTCCTCTATGTCATCCTCGCACTGACGACCCACTCATCGTTTCCCATTCGGGTTCCACTCGAGTGATGGCCTACACTGCGCGCGATGTCATTCGACAGTCTCCTCAACGTATTTCCAATCTATCTCCGCTTTTTTCAACATATTTGTTGAGAAATCGGCTGTTGGTTAGTTTATTTCCAGAGTTTCTTGTTGCTTATTCTTTCTGGCCATTTCATCTTCAATATAAAGCGAAGGCAGCTGTTGATAAAAATCTGTAGACGACTGGAAATGCTTTTCATGATGCGCCAAGTTTCTGACTTGTATAGAAGAACTGACTGACTTCACATTTGTTTTGAAAATCCGAACCTTTTTCTTTATGTCACGGAGTGCAGATTTCCTTTTACGATTCTGGCTGGCTTTGACATCTTTATCCATGCCGTAGGCCTGTGGTTGAAACGATGCTTCCTAGATAGGTGAAGAAAGTAACCTCTTTCAAAGTATTCCTGTTAGTGGTGATTAATGCTGGTTGTTGTTACTGTTGGTTGGTTACCTTCATCACATCCGTCTTCCCTATGTTTACCTATAGTCTGTTAATAAAATATATTACTTAAATGAATGCAAGTAGAAAGAAATTTTACGCAAAATGTTGTTTACCGAAAGTGATTGCGGAATAGAGAATTTGTGTAATTAAAAGTAGAATGGCAAATTGAAACATTGGTGAATTTCGTTCGACTACCTGTGGAGGTATGTCTGTATATAAAATACTCTCTATGTTACAAGTGTTCAGAGACAGTGTACAAACTTTAACAGCGTATACGCTGTGAAGAGAGAGTAAAAATCTGTAAGATGGAATACTTTTTAGAATAACAAACTCATATATATAATAAAAACGTTATGTAATATTGTGTGAAATTTGATAGCATAGAATTTAACGTTGTAAAAAAGGAAGAATTGATTTAGAATGACAAATGGAACAAGTGAAATAATACCGAGGACAGTTCAAAGTGAGAGTCGCAATAGTAACAATAGACGTAATAAGGAAGAGTACACAAATTGAATAGACAAAATGAAAAATTGGTAGAGCCAAAATATGATTGGGGATTACCATACTTTAGCGTAGAGGGATTAAGACCATGAAAGCTGGAGGGGTTGAACGAACTTTTTCTGTACACAGATATCTGGCTTTTCTGTTTCGATAGCCAAAGCTTCAGCAATACACATGAGTCGGGTACGTGGTTATAATCACAAATATGTTAATTGCATTTCATATATATAAGTAAAATTCTTATTTTTCAAACTTTAAATTAGTAGCATTAGAATAACCTTCTGTTTCTATTGTTTTCTGTTTTAGATAACAATATAACTTCAAATGTAAATATACTTCATAAATAATTCTCAAAAATCAAAATAGAAATGCGTTCAGTATTCACAAAAAAACCAAAAATGAAATTGAATTCGAAATCAAAAGTTGAGTTGAATGCAAAAGAAAATGAGTCAGTATTACCTTCAGAAGAGAAAACTTTGTTAGAGGAACGAAATGAAGAATTACGAGATAAATATTCTTTTAAACGTAAAGATGGAAAAAAGAAACCACGCTCAGGTAGCATGACATCTTCATCTTCAGAAGTATATATACGCCGTGGATTAGGTGTATCAGTCACTTTTGAATCTACTCTACCCACACAAATATGGCAAGCGTCACCAAGCCCATCACCACCGTTAAGTGAGAAGATGAAAAATGGTACAAAAGGTGTGTACAAAAATTGTGCTTCTAGTTCTTCTAATCAAAAATGGAATTCAGAAGGATCAAATACAAGAATTCGGATGAGTAAACAAAGTTTTCATGGGAGCTTAAATAATATTGATGAATTGGATGATAGTAGTGATGAGACAAATCCATCTGGCTTAAGTTATCCATCCTTAAGTAGTTGTACAAGCAGTGATGAAACAACAACTAGTCAGGAAAGATTGAATCATCCCCTAGGTAGCAGTACATCTGATAGTAGCTCCAGTTTAGATTTACACGTAATACAGAATAACGGATCACATTCCAAACGGAGAAGTAGTGAAAGGCATCATAAAAATAAAAAAGATAAAGAAGATGAACGATATAAGAGTCGTAGAGTGGTCAATGAAAAACGCCGCCAATACACAACGCAAAGTTTGAGCAGTAGTAGCACAAGCAGTGAAGAAGATTTAGAAGCTTTCGGATGGGATGAGAAGACTATTTCTGCTCTCACAAACAGAAGTAAATGTAACAAACAATGTCCAATATTTCCCTCAAACGGGAAGTTTGATTTGCGTTCTAAGAATGTAAACGAATGTCTGGTGAGTCCGAAAAGGTTACCACAAGGTCAAAGAATGGATTTACGCTGGAAACCAGATGCAGGACTGGCGAAATTAAAACTCTCCTCCCCCGTTAGAATATGTAATCAATTTCATGTAGATACTCCTGTTCTTCATCCCCAAACCTGCATATTATCTCGGAGACTAAACCCTTTGATTCAGTCTAGTTCCCCTAATACGACAAATATAAAATCACACCCCATAGTACCCAACAGTAGTTACGCACATAACTCTCTTAATAATAATAATGAATTGCTAGCAGTTGTTAATACTGATTTTCGTCCATCAGCAGAATGGAAAGAAAGGTACAAATTATTAAGCGTTCGTCAAGGAGAGTATGTCTGCGTTCTAAATCACAACCTACAAAGTTCAACAAACAACAGTGCTATGGATGATAAAACCAAATATACGGGAATCCAACAGAAAGTAATGTTTCCTTTGACAGAAAATAACTTTTGGTTCTATGTACGTCGGTGGTGCGTTGACCACTTAGTGGCCACAGGAACACCAGGGTATATTCCTCGTCAAACCTGTAGGGTTTTGTCGAACTGCGAAATTAGTAGTCTCAGGTGTACAAGTCAGAAGGCAAGAACGCCGTGGGATAGAGCCTCCAATGCCCACTTTGTATCAATGACTGATCCTCAAATTGGTGAGAGTTCCAGCTCAAAGCATGGAGTCATGCAAGCAAATAATGAATTTAGACCACCGCAACCAACAACAAATAAAGAGCTAACAAATAGAAATCCACATACCAACGCAACGTGTCCAAATCAAGTTAGTATGGTATTTAATACACAAGTGGACAGACGAAATGCTGTCTATTCATTGCAAAATTTCACACCAGACACATCAGTAAACTTCCTACCACCTCCGCCACCAGGTTTCGGTTCTGGTGCATCAATTGGTTCTGAAACAGAGGATAAAGACTCCGGAAGGGGCCCGAGTTCTGGCTCAGAATGGGGTAGTGGCCGTGGGGGTAGTTCAAATATCACATTAGACAGATCTGTGGTTGAACATACTTCAAGTGAAATAGGATTAGACTTCCAGGGATCACAGCCAAATAGGCGTTCAAGAAATGTTAAAAGTGCAGAAGAATCTCAACTTGGATGGTATGCTCCAACAGGACTAGCATGGTCTGAGCGGGGTTTCCACGAAGGAGAAGAATCATTATCACGTGACTCAGCATTTCAAAGTCCTAACACAGACAACTTAACACCACCAGTACATATGAAAGATGTTAATCAAAATCTCCCCACACAGCAAACGTATCCACCATCCGCAATAACACTGACCACTATTACTGGAAACACTCCAGTTCTAGAGATGAGACACAATGGTACTCCAACATTATGTGCTCGAGGAGTCCCCTTGGCAATAAGTACAAACGGACCTGACAGTTTAGCTACAAGTACAACCACTTGTGCTACAGTAGTTGATATAAGAGAAATACAAGACGACAACTTAAATAATATGAAGAGTGGTCCATCGACAAAATATCGAGTACCCACCCCAGATCCTTCATGTTGGGAACCTTATAAAACGGTGATTCATGTGAATGAAACCAGTCTTGAGAAATTTACCCTTGTGTAAATAAACAAAGCAAAACTTTTACCTTACCAAACAAGAATTTTCAGAGTATAATTACCCCGCTCACGATTCCTATGCAGTTAGGAATAACGAGCCTTATTTACCTTTTATCTTCTAACAGTTGATTGCAGCAACAGAATGACGACAACCAAACAAATAAATCGGAAGCACTTTTACTGATTTCAAGTAAATCACTTTCATTATTACTTATCTATCTAATTTGTACTTGAAAGCATCTACTGATCTATAGATCATATGTAAATAAACTTCTCCTATCTTCTTTTTTCAATAATACAAATTTCCAGTTCGAGTGAATTATCAAATGTAAAATTTGAAATTATATATAAAAGCTGCAAACCATTATTGTGTTGTTCTTTGGGATATATGGTATGGTTTTTGGTGCGTTCCTTCCCAACCAAGCTTCTTTACGAAGTTCTAAATTACCGTAATGTGTAAATAAGGAGACGAACGACTTTCTATTGAAATATAAGAGAAATTTTTCCGTTTGGATTACAACTTATTAACAGTGACGGTTGTATTCCTGCTTTTTTTACCGAAAGCTAGACAAATCGACAGTTATACAAAAGATCTAACTGGTGCAATCACTAATAAATTAGGTAACATTCAGAGAACCTGTCTAATAATTCCTATTACTTTATCTACTTATATCAATCCCTTTCAAAGAGGTCCTGTAGTACCGTTGGTTAAGACGAACAATGAAACTTCATATAAAAGAAAAGAAGGCGTTCAGCGAAGAGGCTCTTTTCGGCGAATTCATTCACTGAGCTGTACAATCGCATTTATATACAATTTTGTTTGTGTGTGTGTACATTAGATTTATAAAGTTTAGATAATTACGTAATATAAGTATTATTTGGCTTGGAAACAAACGTTAATTAGATAGGAAATAAAATAAAATTGATTAAGTGAATTGGGTGACGTAATACAATTGAGTAGAATTCAGAGTAGGTCAGGTTGGCAACAGTGTTAATGAGTGGTGGTTAAAATTAAATAAGGGTGGGGGTAGAGAATAATACAGTTGAAAATTAAGTAAGTTAATCGGATGACGTAATATAGTTGACTAGAAATTGGACGTGGGTCGAGTTAGCAACATTGTTAATGAGGGTAGAGATTACAAAAGGGTGGGGTAGAGAATAATATAAATGAAGATGTGAAATAACAAAATGCAAAAGACAAAATAATACAATTAGTAAGACTGAAATTAAGAAAGATTACGTCCATTGTAGATTTAATGAATGAACGAATTTCTTTTGTATGCAGAGTTCAGGATTTAGCAGATGAATTGCCATTGCTTCTGCGATGTGGAGAAGTTTGGTCCGTACACTTTTAGCAAGATTGCCTTGTATTCTGTAGATAACTTTGAAGTTTATTTGTGGTTTGACTTGGTGTCCAGAGTCGATCAAATGTTCAAGGATCGAGTTGCGGGGGCATCGGTTTTCTCCTTTATAAAACCATGAAGGTAAATGTTCGTTGACGCGTTTGGAGAGCGAACGCTGAGTACGGCCGATATACCTGGCTCCACACGAGCAGGTGAATTGGTAGATGCACATAGATGAGGCCAACAGCGGTAGCTTATCCTTCACGTTCATGCGAATCATTGGTCTCGTGGAGAACGTCAGTCGTAATTCAGCTGCAAAGAAGGTTTTCTTCAATGAGCGGGAGAGCCGATTTCTCAGTATGTCTGTAGATTGGTCTCCATTGAACTGTAAGTTCATATGGAGAAGTCTTTTTGGAGCACTTCATTTCAATTCAGCCTTTAATTCTTTCAACAACCGGCTTTGCTGCTAACAGCAAAAAATTAATAAGTGATGAGAGACCGAAAAGTAATCTCAGCAGTCATTTACAATGACTATTTCGAAAGCAAAGAGATTTAGTTTAAATTAATAACATTTCGCTTGTATGCAAGAGGAATAAATGGTTTGAAATGAGTATATTCATAAACACATAGCTTCTTGCAGAAAATGCCCAATTTAGCCTCTTGATGCTTTCTTATCAAGGCGGTTAGATGACAGCACTCATAGTAAGTGATCGCAATTCAATAATATATTTTATAGGTTAGGCATTCATATGTTGTATAACGCAATGGGCTTTCTTGAGAACATAATAGAATATACAACTCTTACATATCATAAAGCATAAAATCTTGCTTGGCGAGTGGAAATATATTGGAAACAGACTATCCTTAAGGAAGCTTTAAGTGAAGAAAGACTGATAAAGACAAGAGTTTTAACACTAGTCCAAAACTAGAGAACTTACAGCATAACTCCTAATATAGGTAACATGTAATTTAATCTTCTTATTTAAAGTATTCCATCGTTACACAACATTAAAAAACCCACCCCAATGCCAACCATAAAACAGTGCTACTGGATGAATGTACATGACAAACATTTCAGCTATTAAATAATGATTGCAGTTCATGGATTAATAGATGGATCCCATTCCATTGTTTGAGTCATTATACAAGCCATACGATAACGGTCAGTACTGACTTGGTATGATTATCAGATCACCTAATAGGCAGCAGTATCTACGGGACAAAATGAAAGGATTAAGCAGTATCAACTTAGTGGTTTCGATAAACCTGTTTTGTAAAGTAATTTTGGTACCGCGAATGAATTACCAAAAGAGAGAGTTAGTCAAACACTAAGCGGTCACCAAAATCATTGTAATCAGTCATACAAAACAAACTACTTGCTAAAATACTTTATGTTCGAGTGAAAAACAGCAGATGAATTAGATTAACTTCGCAAAATGTGATTAAAAAGATACATACTGAAATTGAAAAGTCTTCACATATGCGTGGAGTCCAATAACCCTCTGTGTGTGCATCTTTAGCCTATTTAGAATACATAAACGCTAATAACAAAGTAAGCTGCAGGGTGGTAAGCGAACAAATTACCACAGAATTGGAACTAGAAATAAGAAATCGCAATGCATTGTAATAACTATGAAGTGGAAACAAACTGATTACCTGTTTTAATCAGCTATGCTAAAATGTTATCTTACCACGGACATGTGCCACAATTACAGCATACTACATGACGTTTCGTCAGCACTACACATCAAATCATCTTTAATGTGGACATCATTTAATTTACACACACTATCTTATTATAAAGTACCCAAAGACTCTCGAAAGAACACGTAGTTTACGCTTAGAGATATACCCATATCTTAATTTGGTATAATCCAAACAAACAAAAAGAAAGTATGTCCACATGAGACCATTCGAATCAATGTTTTGAAAGGAAGCTAAATGAAATTAGGCCACACTGTAACAGCATTCCATGGAGATCCTGATATGCAATCTGAACTATGTAGGTTGCCTCACTGATATCTTCCAGAAGCCAAGACATATATCGTCGGATAAACCCGGCGAAATCGCTCACAACTCAACATAATCCTAAGTGTTACATTGATTTCCCATGATTTTACTTATCTTATTCCGTTACTAGTTGTTGTAGTATTTTCGAACTTCCGAGTTCTTGCTTTACTTTGTTATGTTTAATCAGACTGACTCACTTTTATGAGGGGTTCCGTGTTATTCAGCTTATTACTCCTAAATATATTTATCAATTTACTTAATTATTGATTGGATGCTTTCAGTTAAGTCATATTTTTCCTGATATTAAAGTCAAATACAATGAACTATCTGTAGTATGGTCCAACTCATAGATTATGTTGAAAACCAGCGTTTCCTCTGAGCTGGCTACTGACTAAAAAAAGCTGTCTACGTTACTCAAACGGACGATTGGAACGATATCCCATTTTAGCTGCATCACCTGGTCGACCTAATACAATAGAATGTTAACGCACTGAGTGGTGATAGACAAAAAACAAAAACTAATAGCAAATCTTTCGATAACCAATAATTTGCCATTCAGTAACCCAACCCTCCAAATATGCAAAGAGTTATGAAGAATTCACACTTAGAACGATTTGATAACAAATAACAAAACAATATTTGTTTATCTCATGGAAAAGTCAGCAAGCGTCCAATTCATTTCAATTATTTATTGCAATTATCTTATAACTTAGTACATATATGAAAAGAAAATAGAAGTGATAAAAGTCCCAATAATAATACGAACAAGAATTCACTGGTCGGGATATTCTTATCACAAAATTGGTATAGGCTGAAAAATCTACTTTACTGTTTCATTCCTTGAGAGTAGAACAAACAAATCAATCTTGTGTATATATGTAAATAGTACTGAAAGACTTGATGGTTAATTAATATACATTATGTACATGCAGTTTTAAATGACCTATTAGAAATTAGGCTTAGGTCTCAAAATTAGCTTCCCAGAATTATCACAAGCCATATTATATTCTGCTAGGACAATCCGACTACGATGAGCTATGATACTTGGCAAGATGACCTTTTTATGTGCTCCCATCAAGAAAATAATCATCAGAAACAAAAGACTGAGTACAAATTCTGGATGTTTTTTCATGGACCCAAGAAAACCAACTTGATAGGTAACGGGGTCGATAATCCAACAGTACGACGAGCATAAAAACATTATGACACCAACAAATAAAACAATGCGCCACTTAAATGCTTTAGGACCTAAACCATTGATAATTTCTCGAAGTCGACGCTCAAACGCCTTGAGATCTTCAGTTGGTTCATTAGGATTATAGTTGATATTCTGCTAAAACAAAGAACGGTATACACAAAAAAACAAATAATCACATGTCCTGAGATGCAATAAATATTCTTATTTTATTAACAGCATGAACTTATTAGAAAACGAACGTGAAGAAACATCCTACATCATCCTAAACGTTATAGAAATACCGATACTTCAATACCAAGGCAATATACAACAAAAGCGATAAATAACACGAAATCCTATCTAGGTAGTCACGAAGCTACTGGAGATAAAGGACATGAAAGTGAAGCTTTTTGCTGATTATTTTTCCTTCAAGTTCCCAGTGGAACATAGGGCTTCAAGTTAGAAGCTTGAAGTTTC